TAACCAGGGAGAAAAAAGTATAGACATTTGTTTCATATTTGGTTCCTTTAAGGAACAGGTCCAATAAAAAAAAGTATTCAAGTATGGTACTCCAGAACCCAGAACATGGCCAAAGACGCCAGGAAAGGCCCGGAGCGAGCAAAGCCACCGTCGATCCTGAGCTGAGCTGAGTGGAGACCGATATGCCGGGTTTCGGCGCTTACAGACACAGACCACCCCCCTAACGGTTTAGGGTTTCGGGTTTAGGGCCTAGACCCTAAACCCTAAACCCCTAAACAAAAGAAAAACACACAGCCGACCCAGGTTCTCTCCGTTGACGGCCGTGCTGGCAGCGGCTGTCGGGCTGGAGCCGCCTTGGGCGGGCTGTTTTGGGCTTCTGCCAAGACCCCTCAATCAATGGATCTAATGATTTGGGAACTCAGTGAAAAAAACCCTGCCTTCCGCCATTTTCTGCTAGGACAGCTTCTTGGGGGCTCTGCTTTTAAAGGGCTTACAGCCATCGTTACCTGACCGATAAGCCCGGCCGTTATTCAGGGCATATGCCTTAAGCACGCGCTCTGTACTTTGAGGTATACTCCTGAATTAGCCCCTGTAGATGCTGGGTCCCAACTGCCGTCCAGCAGCCCACGCCCGCTTCCTTGAGAGCGGCGATCAGCGCATGCACGTCTTCCTGCGTGAAGAAGAGGGGCCAAAATAAGGATGCGATCAACAAGCTTATAAGTACCAGAGCCCCCTCACGTTAATTGCAGCTCTATCATCAAACCTAAAACTCTAAACCCCCAAACCCTAAACCCCTGAACCCCCAAAACCCCTAAACCCTAAAGTCTGTAGATCCCTTATAGAACCCTTTAAAGGAACCCTAAACCCTTCCTTGGAGCCCATTGTAGAGGCCTAAACCCTAAACCCTTATAGATCCCTTATAGAACCCTTTAAAGGAACCCTAAAACCCTTCTTTGGAGCCCCGTTTAAAGGCCTAAACCCTAAACCCCTAAACCCTAAACCCCTAAACCCCTAAACATAGATCCCTTTAAAGGAACCCTAAAACCCTTCCTTGGAGCCCCTTTCAAAAGGCCTAAACCCCTAAACCGCGGTGCTAGGCTCTCTGGGGCCAGCGGCCTCCTCTAAAGCGCCTCTCTTCGCGTTTCTGAACACCACCGAGACTACCTGGACCCTAAAGACGCATTAGATCCGGTTTAGGGTTTAGGGTTTGTTTAGAATGTAGTGTTTAGGGTGTAGGGTTTAGGGTTTAGGGTGTAGGGTTTAGGGTTTGTACTGCTGATGATCTAAATCCTGCATGACCTTAAGGACCCTAAACTAGGGGAATTCTGGTCCAATGGTATAATTCCTTTTTGTGGAGTCTTAGGGACCTGAGTACCCTAGCCCAAAAAAGGTTAACCTTTTCAAGTATAGTAGGATTATATAAGGCCTAGAAGGTTACCTACTCAGCCCCTAAGGGGTACTGCAGGATTTCTATCATCCACCTCTGCAGGGCTCCTTTCCTTAACAGGAGTTAAGTAAAAAAACTGTGGGTTGTTTGGGGTTTAGGGTTTAGGGGTTTAGGGGTTTAGGGTTTAGGGGTTTAGAGTTTAGGGTTTAGGGGCTTAGAATTTAGGGTTTAGGTTTTTGGGGATAAAGTAGGCCCGAAGAAACCCTGAATCCCTAGCCTCGCCTGCAGGTGCGTCTCGTCAAAGGCCGCAGAAATCAGGCTGTCGTCGATGGCGCGCATATTCAGCTTCTTGGCCTGCCATGAGAGTCGGTTAGAGCGTTCAGGGCCCTAAACCCTACTTGGAGGGTCGGGGGACGTAGAAAATGAGTAGACCTATAAGTACCCTAAAAAGGGTTCCTCATTGGGGTTATGGTACTTACAAGTCTATAAAATAACTACTTACTAAGTCGCCCCAACCCTCCAAGTAAACCCTAAAGCCCGAAACCCTAGGGTTTAGAGGGTTTTACACCGGCTCCCGAAGGGTTCAAACAGGGCTCTAACACGGCTCTGAAGAGTGCAGCTGTAGGGTTCTGACAGAGCTCGAAAGGGGCTCTAAGGGATTTATGGTCTTTTGTAGAAGGGTCTTGTGCTGCTTCCTTGAGGGTTTAGGGGTTCTTATATGAACTCTCTTTTGACTTAATGTCACTTGTTCAGTCGACACATTCGAAGCTTAACTGCCAGACGGCGTCAGCGACAGTTGTACATAGGAATATACTTCCCGAACCAGTGGGTGTATGATAAGTCTAGCTCTATAGTCAGTATAGGGGCCTTAATATTTATCATGGGGTGTTAAGCTTTTGTTTATGGTATGGTCATAGTTAAAATCAGGAACCCTAAGGAATACTATTGGTAATTACTGAGGCTTCTATAGCCTCTTGAGCCTTCCATTCGCCCCCCCTTGTTACAGAGAATCCCTGGGAAGTAGTCCCTGCTCCTATAAGGCAACCCAAAACCCAAAACCCCTAAACCCAAACCCTAAAACCCCAAACCCTAAACCCTGAACCCTAAACCCTAAACCCCAAAACCCAACACCCTTAAACCCCAAAACCCCTAATCTGAGGCAGCCCAACAGCAGAGAAGGGAGGCCCTGCCTGCAGCTTCTCCACCACGGCTTTGGCGTTCTTCCTCAAGCAACAGGGACCCGGTAGTGGGGTGGCCTCATGTATTCTTCGCTAATTAAAGAAAAAACTGAAAATGTTAAGGGGTCAATGATGTCATTCAGGGCATTTACAGCACTTGCCTAAACCTGTTTTAACTAGTTAAGCTCTTTTCGGCAATCGTTCTGTTCCGGATCGCACATGCAAAAGGCCATAATTTTTCCGTGTGAGGCAGGCTTGTTGTTTACTAGTCGTAATGCTAGTATCCCCAAAACACACCCCAACCATACACTCACCAGGGTTCTACATCCGAAAACCCTAAACCCTACTTTGAACTGCCGAGAAAAGTAGGGTTCCTATAAATTCTATATTAGGGTCTAAAAGCCTAAACCCCATAAGAAAAAAAGTGTTCAGAGTCCTGCGATGCATATGGTTTCCTTACAGACGTATGGACGTCCAATGCTCCTGACGAGCCCTGAATATCTGCATGCATATATATATATATATTTATTTATTTATTTGTTTATTTATGTGTGTATATATATATGTATATATATATATGTATACTATACACACACAAATGCATAGACAAAATGTCCGCAGTTTGCCGTAGCCGAGCAACCCGGCGTCGATCGTAACCGTGTCGAAGAAGGACCCTGCAGCAACGGCCATACCAGCCTTTCCCGCCTGCTCAGAGTGCGGTTTAGGGGTTTAGGGCTTAGGGTTTAGGGAGAGTGCGGTACTTGAGTGGTCGTTGTCTTTCTTTGTCTACTAAGAACTCTGCATATACCATATACCTAACTCGAGACTTACTAAGTCAAGAAAACCTCCGAGTAGTTCCATGCTGCGCAGGCAAAAGTCGGACGTCCAACACAGAGAGTGTTTGGGATTTTGGGCCTGGGGTTTAGGCTTGAACTAAACTAACGGTTAAATATGGGGAGAAGAGTGCCCCCAGAAAGGCCAATTAAAAGTTCCTTACTCTACTACTAGGGAGATAACCAAGCTCTCCGGAAACTTCGGCTACTTCAGGGCTGGCATCCTGGAGATAAGGGCACCCTAAACCCTAAACCCTAAACCGACCGACCGACTCTGGGCCGATAAGTACGGTCAGAATGCTGAAGATGGGGGTCCCGCTTAGGGGTGTAGGGTTTAGGGTGTAGGGGCCTTAATAATTAGATTAGGGTTTTGGGGTATATTATACTATAATTCTCATCAGGAACCCCCCAAAACCCTATTCTCATTATTAAGGCCCTTCCATTACGACCAGGATGAAGATGGTCATGATGAAGATGATGGTGTTGTCGACCATCACCATCGCCATCATCGACACCGTCGCTGTCACCATCGTCAGCATCATCCACATCCTTCAGATGGTGGCGGCGAAGTGATGACGATGATGCTGAGGCTAAGGATGAGGATATGAACCGACGAATATGATGGGGAGAAGATGGGTGACACGGTTGATGATATACATCCTGCATTACCCCCATGATAAGGAACATACCCATAATTCCCATAGTTTCGGGTCCCTACAAGGTAATGCAGGAGTTATATCATCAACAGTACGAACATACGAACGGAGGGTACTGGCAACGTTGAATACGATACCAATGGTACCGGCTGTGTTCACGATGAGCATGCTTTCATGCCACTAGTTGTGGTGGCTCTCGGGAGGTGTTTTCAAAAGCTAGATACTTTTCGGACCTCACAGTGTCAAGTTATGTGAGCGAACCAGAACAGATTCCGCCAGCCCATGAGACATAGGGCCTGGCTACGAGTAGTTCGAAAAGCATTTGCGGGGTGTAGCTTAAGACACCATATGACTATGTTTACATATGGGCTCTTGAAGGTACGCTGCTTTTTTCTTCAGACCCTATGTCCACCGGATTCCCACAGCAAATCTAAACACCCTAAACACCCTAAACCCTAAACCCTACACCCTAACCGTGAGATGAGAAGCCTCGCTTGCGAAGAGCTGCGCCAAGCCATGGACCTTCGGACATTTCTCGACTTGGGCAGTGCGAATATGGGCAGTTGTCTAAATGAGGGTCCCTTTTAGGGTCCTTTTTATAAGGGTGCCGTGGTATATTGGGGACATGGGTTCTAAAAGGGATCTGTAAGGGTTCATTTAAGGGTACTATAAGGGTGCCGTACAATATTGGGGACCGAAAAGGGACCCTAATTTAAAGGGATTTGTAAGGGTTGATTTGAGGGTACTACAAGGGTAGTCCTCTAAGTTAGAGTCCCTCTTGAGATTGAGGAGCGTCGTTGCATGGTGTTTAAGCTTTTGGGTTTAGGGCCGGGTCCATGTGCCTATATCCTATATAGGCCTTAAAAGTACCTTTATAGGAACCCCTGTAAGGCCTGAGTATAGACTATGTAAGCACATGGAGCCTTCGGGCACATGGTTACATGGACTTTAGGCAAATCGAGGTGAGAGGCTGGAACCATCCATAAGCGTAGTTCTCTAAATTAGGGTCTCTCTTTGGGTCCCCAATATAGTACGGCAGCCTTATAGAAAGACCCCCCAAAAGGGACCCTAATTTAGAGAACCATCCAGAAGCGTCAGCAAATTAGGATGCAACTGCAGCCAGCCAGAATCGAGGTGTAGAGTTTAGGGTTTTGGGTTTTTAGAGTTTGGGGTTTTTAGAGCTTAGGGTTTAGGGTTTAGAGCTTAGGGTTTAGGGTTTACAGCTTAGGGTTTAGGGTCTTACGTCTCACGATTCAATCGTGTCCCGCAAAAAAATCCTCATCGAGCCCTTGTAGTATCCCTTATAAGTCACCCTTGTAGTAACCGAAACCCTAAAACCTAACACCTGAACCCTGAATCCCAAACTAAAACCCCAAAGCTAAAACCTAAACCCTAAAACCCTAAAACCTTGTAGTAATGTCTCGACCTTCTTGGCGATTTTCTGGAGCCCATCCTTGCGATGATACCTCGGCTGGAGAGCTTTTCCGGACGGTGGCTGGGTTTAATTTGATTAAGAAACCCTGGGCCTTTGTTAATATGAACTCCAATATATTGGCATTATAGGGCCAGGGTTTTGTAAATCAGGTTCCTGCAATAGTCAAAAGCAGCGAAGCCCCAATACGGCGAGTCTTGGTGCTACTGAATTTCCCAGAGACTCCCACACCCCTTAATTAAGGAATATACCTGAAATTATAATAGGAGCCCTAATAAGATTTAAGGTATATTCCTTAATTAAGGGGTTTTGGAGTCTCTGGGTATATTGCCATGACTTAGCCAAGCCACACGGAGTACATTCCGGCAATGTTGGCCAGCAGCACTTGCGCGGTGCACACGTTCGATGTGGCCTTTGAAAACCATGCATCCCTATCTAGAGGTTGGAACAACTAGAAATAGCATCGCCTTACAGTTTCCAGGTAATGATTGTAATAACCGGCGATGTACTGCAAGACCCTATTCCAATCATTTGGCCCGTCCCATGAAGCCTTATACCGCTTTAGCATGCCAATGAGCATCAAACATTCTTCCGCAGCCGCGGTACCTCACAACATCGGCCCTGTCAAACCTCCCACATGAACATCCTTGGCATGCTCAAAGCCCCTTCGGGACCCATGCAAAGCCCCTGAATCCTCGCCCAAAACTCTCCCAACCCCCAAAACAAACTAAATCACCCTAAACCCCAAACATCAGTAGCCTAAAGGCGCCGAAGACTGTCGAAGACTTAAAACCCTAAGCCCTAAACCCGAAAACCCTATACAAAACCCGAAGCCCCAAAACCCCCCAAAGGCACCAAAAAAGAGGCTGCCTTGTCCAGTCGGATATGCTGCTCTCTCGTCTGAAGGGTCAGTCGGTAGGCTGGGTTGCCCAGTCTGTCCACCGACCTTCGCTCGAGTACTTTAGAGATTAGGGTGCAGGGTTGTAGGGATTTGGGTGGTTCCCTACATTAGGGTCCCTTGTTAGGTCCCCAAAGTATGGTACGGCATCCTTGTAAAAAGGATTCTAAAAGGGACCCTAATTCAGAGAACTACCCATTTAGGGTTCTGGGAGAAGGTGCTCAGTAGGGTTCGGGGATTTTAAGGTTTAGGCTGTTGGTTTCGAATGTAGGGCTTAGGCAGTTTAGGGTTTCTAGGTCATGGGCTTCAGTCGATCGCAACCAATAGGGGTAGTTCTCTAAATTAGGGTCCCTTTTAGGGTCCTTTTTTTAATAACGGTGCCGTACTGTATTGGGGATTTAGAAAGGGACCCTGGTTTAGAGAATTGCCCAAAGGATTCCCTGCCCTGACCGTTGGTTGCATGGCCGCGTTTAGTCATCGGCCGTCATGGCTGCAAGACCCACAAACAACGGTTCAGGGTTTAGGGTTTAGGGGCAATAGACGGATCTGGTTCCCTGCGGGGGCCATATTAAGAATGATAATTTTTTAATCCTTATTAGGGTTTTAGTATAACAAAAATTAAAATGTAGAATAGTATCCAACAGGGACCCGGGGATGATCAGAAGCTTTATTGGTGGCAGTAGCTCTGGCCCAGACTATCACAGTAGTAGCTGTAGCTGCACGAACGAACGACAGGTCTAGGAGTGAAGATTCATGACACGAATGGGGAAACCTAGCAATCTGGCTTCCGTCACCGTAACAAGGTTGGTGTCACCTTCTCAAACGTAATAACGATGCTTAGCTTGATCAAAAATAATCAGCCAGGACTCTCTCCGATGATTCGACCCGGCATTCGTCGCACCTCTCCAGGACAGTCTGGGCTTCTGTGGCTTGGAGTGTGACTCCGTGACGACCCTGCCTCTATGCCAGGTAATACGAAAGAGCAGCATCAACGTTGCTATGTAGTGACTATGACACTGAGAAGGGTACCGTTCCTGCGATGACGATGTCGACCACAACGAAGGCGACTAACACTGCCAGTCCGAATTCAGAGTTGTGTTCAACAGGAGAAAGGTTAGATAATCAACGCGATCCACGTTGGGTTCAGGGTTTAGGTTTAGGTTGCGATTGAACGGTTCAATGTTGCAACTGCGATCCCACCTCCAAAGTTTGATACCGACATGCAGCTTCCGCTTGGCCTGCGGGAGCCCTGAAAGGGAACCCAAAATTTAAACCTTAAACCCCTAAACCCCTAAACCCTGAATCCTGAATCCTCAACCCTAAACCATAAAAACCTTTTTTTGAGGGGATGGCTGAACGCTATACAGCCCGTAGGGCTTTGGGTTTCTCGAGTTCTGGGCTTAGAGAGACTCCATAAAACCTGGGTAAGACCTTACAGCGACCCTTGTCAAACAAAAGAGGGTTTAGGGTTTGTAGGGTTTAATTAGGGCTTAAGTTGGCAAAAAAACCGTCTACACCTTCTGTACCTAAAAACTCGTCGCACCCTTCGTTACCCTAAAAATCCAAGTGCCCAAATAAATAGTAGGGTTTCAAGGCCCCCAAAACCATTCAGGGCATGGAGTTTGGGACCTCAAACCCTACTATTTGGGTACTCGGACCCTCGGGGCTAAAGTCTCTAATGAATGGTACCTAAAATCCTAAAATCCTAAAATCCTAAACCCCTAAACCCCTAAACCCCCAAAACCCCTAAACCCCTAAACCCTAAACCCCTAAACCCCTAAACCCTTCGTTATAGGTCAAAATTTCATCGCCTGCTTCTTCGACGTGGCCAGGTACGCGGCAGAAGGTCCACCGAACCACATGGGCACGCCTGCAGAGCTTAATGTTAGGGTTGGGGGCTTAGGGTTTAGGTTTGGGGTTTAGGATTTAGGGTTTAGGGCTTAGGGCGGGGTTTAGTTTAGGGTTTAGGGTTTAGGGTTTAGGGTGTAGGATTTAGGGTTTAGGGCTTAGGGCTTGGGTTTGGGGCTTGAACGTCATGGGTTTTCCGCTCAGAGGCTTCCCTCACCTAGAGGGTCCGAGTACCCAAATAGTAGGGTTTTAGGTCCCAAAATCCATACTCTGAATGGTTTCTGGACCTTGAAACCCTACTATTTGGGTACTTAGACCCTTAGGGTCATGCATCAACTGCTTGTGCTTCGCCAGCCCTTCAGAAGGACAGCCAGAAAAGCGATACCTTAAGGACGAAATGACCCTTAAAAGTAGGGGCCCTTATACCCTCATACTATGAATCCGTGTATGGTATATGAACCCTAAAACCTTTTAGGATTCATTTCGTCCTTAACGTACGGACTTCAGAGGCAGAGGTGCGGTTCAGGGCTTGCGGAAAACCACGCAGCCCTGACACCTAAACGTCCCGAAGCTTACTTGGCTGCCAGACCTCCGTATTGACCTCCTTTAGGGTTCAGGGTTCAAGGTTTAGGGTTTAGGATTTCCCCAGACCCCCTTTACAAAACCCCTAACAAGGCGTCGTAGCAGACCGTTGAGTGGCACTTTATGGCAATCCTATAGAGCGCTTGAAAGGTTCTGTAGGGCAGCCAAGTGGCCAAAACGCTGCATGGAGCCCACAACCACGTCGGCACCGAACTCACCTGGGTATAGGGTTTTTGGCCGGCTTAGACCAGGATTATCAAGGTTTAGGGTTTAGGATGCAGGGTTCAGGCTTTCGCATCTTGCTTAAAGGAAACTACAGGTGGGGAGTTTAGGATATATAGGGCTTCTACAAGGCTTCTATAAGGTATATAAACCTTCTATAAGGCTCCTATAAACGGTAACTACCCACCTGAAAATGTCCTAGACTTACTGCCCCGGGCCCAAGGAAACACAAAGTTCAAATTTAAGACGAATGCATAGCTGACGTCAACCTGAAGAGGTCAAAGCCGCAAACACTGCTGTCGCCTCAAAACAAAGCTCACCCTCCTACAAAACTCCAAAACATACACGAAGCATTTAAAACCGACCATTTTCAATATTACGGCCCCTAATCTATAGGTCTCCCTTTCCCTAAATTACCTTAAAGTGCCCTATTCTGCTTAAAGCCCCTGTACCAATATCATGGCCCCTGTACTACCTGACATCCAAGACTGCCTTATAGTAAAAGATGTCCCAAAACCCTATTCCACCTTAAATTGAAGGAACCCTCGTATGATTATTAAGACCCCAATCCCTAAACCCCAAACCCTAAAAACGAAACCCGAAACCCTAAACCCTAAGCCCTAAATCCCCTTTTTACCTGACATCCAAGTGTCTGGGAGGCTTGGCCAGCACCAGCGAAAGCCTCGGTCAAAGGATGGCTGTCCGACTCCAGGTTTGGGGCTTTCGGGGCTTTGGGGGCTTTGAGGGTTTAGGGTTCGGGGCTTTTGGGGCTTTTGGGGCTTTGGGGGTGTGAGGGTTTAGGGGTTTAAGGGTTGCGGAGTTTAGGGGCTTAGGAGTTTAGGAGTTTAGGGGTTTAGGGCTTGAGGGGTGTAGGGTTCGTGACGCAGGGCTCTAGGGTTTAAGGCTTTAGGGTTTTAGGGGCTTTGGGGCTTAGGGTTTAGGGCTTTGGGGTTTGAAAATAATGGTTTGGGTTTTGAAAATAAGGGCTTCGTATTTCCTGGTTGCGAGCTCACGGCGCCAAGGGCTTGGGTAAGCTGACACAGTAGCAAGGGTTTCTTGACATCCGCGTCAATCGGGACTAGAAGTAAGATGTAGTGAGATAGCACGCTATAACTTCTACAGTGGCGCGACTGACTTCCCAAATAAGCCAGGGAAATAAACGGTTAAACTTTCAGATTACTACTCAGTTATTGAAAACCAAGAAGTTTAAAGGTTGGGTATTGGGGAACCAAAGCGATAATAAACTAGACTTACTTCCAGCCCCGATTGTGGCAGAGTCTAGCCATGGCAACCCTCTACTCCTGTGGAGCACTTATGGCGGTCATCCTGCCTTTTAAAACCATGGAAAAAACACTGAAGTGGTTTGGGGTTTAGGGTTTTGCTACCTGAGAAGACCCAAGAAAAGGGCAGAGCCCGCACAACACACCGAGGGGACCCTGAATTCGTAGCGTGAGTTTCAAGCTGATGCCAGGAACCCTAATGCCTAAACCCTAAACCCAATAAACCCCAAAACCCTAAAACACTAAACCCTAAACCCTAAACCCAAAACCCAATAAACCCAAAAACCCTAAAACCCCAAACCCTAAACCCAATAAACCCAATAAACCCCCAAAACCCTAAGTTGATGCCAGGTGGCGGATCGGCAGCGACGGTAAGGTAAGCTCCATTCTTGTGGAGGGCCTGGTTTCTCGCACTTAGGGTTTAGGGTTTAGGGTTTTGGGGTGTAGGGTTTAGGATTTAGGGTTTGGGGCTTAGGGTTTAGGGTTTTGGTGTTTTGGGTTTAGGATTTAGGGTTTGGGGCTTAGGGTTTAGGGTTTTGGGGTTTAGGGGGTCAGGGTTTAGGGTTTAGGAACCCTAAACCCTAAACCCTAGGGGATGTAGAATGTTTAGAGGTAGGTAAAAGATTATAATGTCCTAGTTACCTAGTTTCTCTGTCTGCTGGCCCTCCAGGCAAAGCCTCCCTTAGCCCCTGAACCCAGCGCTAGCCAAGCCCGAGCTATAACGGGTTCTACAAGGATACTACAAGAGTATCACCGCTGTTCTGTAACTGCAGTAAGGCTTTTGCGAATTAGGATTTTTCCGCAAAACCCAAATTTGTAAAACTTAAGGTATACCGATACATACATATATATATATGTGTGTATATATATATATGTATTTATTTACACGCACAGACACCAAAATCCAATATAAACGTGACTTCTCCTGTAAGTCCGACCTGGGCAATGCTCGAGTAGTCATCGAACCGGCCGGTGGTGTCCGGGTACCTGGGCTCTTGATGGGGGAGGCTGTGAGGTTTCACTACAGTCTTGGCTAGGTTCTGCAAGATGTTAGATGCGTTTGGAGGTTTTGGGGTGTTTGAGGCAGGGGTTCCGGAGAGGGGGGGGGGGACGGGGGGCTCAAAAGCGAACTTGCTAAGCAGATTGCAAGTGTTTCAGTTTGACCCCAACTAGGAAGCCATGCTCCTAGTAAGTGGGAGTTCGGATTAGGGGGACCCTTGGGATATAGACCCTCTCAATAAGGCCCTTTAAGGGAGCCGGAAGTAGGGTTCAGAAGGGTCCCCCTTTAAGGGGCCTCCTTCATACTACCTAAGAGTAAGGGCATTGTTAACAAACGCCCGGATCTTTTAGGTATACACGTCATCCCCCAAGGGCCGCGCTTCGAAGGTCCTCCAGCATGCAACCCTAATGAAAAATCAGGTCTCTTCCCTAAACCCTAGACCCTAAACCCTAATGAAAAATCAGGTCTCTTCGGTTACAGGTGGGGCTTCCTTGGGCTCAGACACTGAGAAGGGTAAGTACGATATCGGTATGCCACATACTTGCAGGTTCATGGGTAGTTATAAGTGTAAAGTGCCCTAATTTTGTTGATAACTATAGTTACCCTACTTATAACCCCACTTACAACTACCGACGAACCTCCAAGTACTGAGTATGACATACTGTATAAGAGCCAACGGAAGATGGCAGTATCAAACACAGACACACATGCCCGCACGTGCAAACACAAGCGAAGCCAAGAGGAAATGCGCATGTAGACCGCAAATGCAAGGGACTTTGTGTTTTTGAGCGGCAGGGGGGGGGGGGTGTTATACTGTTATACCAAACACATGGTGGAAAGCGGCTTTCCGAATCGCCTCTAACCCTAGGCACCAAACACCCGAAAACAGCTAAGCCCCCAACCTGATCCCACTCAATCAAGAAATACCAAACCCTAAACATGTAAACTTGGCCCTAAGCCCACCAACAAAACTGAAACCCTAAACCCTGAACCACCCAAAATAGCCCTAAAACCCTAAGGCCCTGATCCTAAGCCAAGAACCAAAGCCCCTCCCTTCCTTTCTTCTTTCTTCTTCCTAAACCCGAAAGCCTAAACCCTAAAACCCTAAAACCCTAAACCCTAAAACCCTAAAACCCTAAACCCTAAACCCTTCTTGCAATGTGGGAGGCTGGACCAGCGCCCCGAAGAGCTTGTCCATGGAAGCGAAGTCCGTCTTCTTGTGGTCGCCGATGATCAGCTCCTTGCTGGGCGTTTTAGGGCCTTTTAGGGCTGTTTAAGGCTTTTAGGGTATAGGATTTAGGGTTTAGGGTTGTAAGCCTTTTTAGGGCTTAGGGCTTCAGGTTTGGGGTTTAGGGTTTAGACTTTGGGCTTTGGGGCTTTTTCAGGCTTCCGGTTTTTGGGCCTCACATGAGGCCCCGACCGCTTAGGCCAAGTTGGCTTGTGGAGCAAACGTCTGGCCGTGCCCACTGAAGCAAGCTCGAACTTAGAAATTCACCCTGTTCCTACCGAGCTCCAACGCGCAAGCCCTCCAAAAAAAACCACGATGCCGTCATCAACATTGCGAGCCCACGAATCTCCCACTGGCCCCCACCATCGTTCACTTACCCTGAGGGTCCATGTACTCATATAGTATATACATTGGCCTTCAAGTAGTCCCTCTATGGGTGCATTGGGCCCAAGGTATATAATATTTGGGTACATGGACCCTCAGGGTTGTTTTTGTCTTCGATGTCTGTTGCTGGCAGCACCAAGTCATTTGCCTGGCACGCTACGCAGTTAACGCAGAAATGGCAGGCCCGGCGCACAGCTGTTGCCAAGCGGCGGGACTGTCTGAACTTGTCGGTGCATTGCACTCCATGCTAAAACACCGACCGACCACATCATAATACTGGCTGCGGCAATCGAATTAGCATAAGGCTTTTCTGTTAAGCCTCGAAAGTCAGACTGCCTCTTCTCTGAACGAGGCTAAATCTTACATGCAGTTGGTACTGGTGGCCTCAGACTCCGTGTGAGACTCGTACTCGCCGCTTTGCGTCTTGCTCTTCTCGGAGCTCTGTGCCGGTCCGTGGAACATCCCACCCATCTCGGACCAGTAGTAGCAGGGGCTCAGCAGCGCCCAAAACATCACATAGCCCGCATGGACCTGGAAAGGCAGCAGGGCATCCTGGATCGGCTTGTAAAAGCAGAAGCCTGCAATCACTGCCCCGAGGTTTCCGCCGGCACCCACAAGCGCGGACACCACTGCGAGCTGCTTCCTGTTCATACAAGGCATTATTATTATTATTGATATTATTATTATTAGTATTATTATTATTATGAAGGTGACCCAACCTAACAACGAGTTCAGGGCCACGCCTGTTCATAAAAGGCACGATGCCGTAGGAGGTGCCCTCAGCCATCTGCACAAAGAGCGAGAAGCAGACCAAGACTGCCAAGGCCACATACCAAGGCTGGGAGTTGTCCACGTTGCCGAAGCTGAATAGGAAGATAGCTTCGAAGAAGAGTGCCAGGAACTGAGCCCAAATCCGGCCGCGGAAGCCGAAGTACTTGTAGCAGATGTCGCTGCTGATCCCTCCCAGAGATCTTGCGAAAAGGTTCATCAGGCCGAAAGCACCCGCCAGGGCGCTGGCATCACCTGCATCCATCTGGAAGTATGTCCGAAAATGTGTGGCCAACTGATTGTTCATTGCGAGCTCTGTGCCGAAGCATGCGGAGTATTGGAATATCATGACCACGACGCGAACGTCGCGCAGCACCTCGAC